CTCTCTTTCTTTGTCGTGCGCACTCTCTCTCTGTCATGCGCTCTCTCTCTGTCACCCACTCTCTCTCTCTCGCACTCTGTCGCACGTGCGCTCTGTGTCTCTCGATCGCGTACTCACTCTCTCTGTTGTACGCTGTCTCTCTGTCTGTCACATGCTCTCTCTCTCTCTCTCTCTGTCACGTGCTCTTGCTCTCTCTCTCTCTGTTGTGCCCTTCCTCTCTCTGTTGCATCCTTTCTCTCTCTGTCATGCTGTCTCTCTCTGTCGCGTGCTCTCTCTCTCACTCTCTCTCTGTCACGCGCTCTCTCTCTTTCTCTCTCTCTGTCGCTCTCTCTCTGTTATGCCGTCTCTCTCTCTCTGTCGCGCCCTCTCTCTCGCTCTGCCATGCTGTCTCTCACTCTATCTCAAGCTCGCTCTCTTGTACTCTCTGTCTCTCTCTCGCATGTTCTCTGTATCTTTTGTCCACTCTTTGTCTCTCCCTCATGCTGTCTCTTGCGTGCACAGGCTTTCTGTATCACACGCACATGCTCGGTTCTCATGTTCTTTTTCTCTCACTCGCTCTCTCGCACTTGCTCTTTTGCACTTTGTCTCGCACTCTCTTTCTCGCTCACTATCTCTCTCTCGCATTCTGTCTCGTGCGCTCTGTCACTCTCTGTTTCTCTCTGTCTTGCACAATCTGCATCTCTCTCTCTCTCTCTCACGTAATCCATCTCTCTCTCTCGCATGATCTCTTGCACTTGCTTTCTTACACTCTGTCTTGCTGTCTGTTTCTCGTGCTCTAGCTCTCGCACACATGCTCTTTGTTTCTGTCTCTCGCACACTCTATTTCTCTCTTGTGCTCTCTGTGCCTCTTCCTGTCTCTTGCGTATGCTCTTTTTCTCTTGTGCTTTCTGTCTTATGCACGCGTGCTCTCTGTTACTCTTACACTCTGTCTTTTGTGTGTGTCGTCACTGTCTCTCTCTCGTGCTCTCTGTCTCATGCACAAGGTCTCTCTGTCTCTGTCGTGCACTCTCTGTCACTCTCTCTGTCTTGCGCACTCTGTCTCGCGCGCATGAGCTCGCTATCTCTTTCTTGTGTTCTCTGTTTCTCTCTTTTGCTCACCCTTTCACCGATGCGCACTCGCTCTCTGATTTGTGTGCTCTCTCTCTGTTTCAAATGTGCAAGCTTGCTCTCTCGTACTTGCTCTCTTACGATCTCTGTCTTACACTCTCTCTTGCTCGCTCTCCGTCTTGTGCCTGCGCATATGCTCTCTCTCTTTCTCTGCCTCGCACGGGCTCTCTTGTGCAGCCTGTCTTCCACTCGCACTCTTGTTCTCTGTCTCTGTCTTATGCGCACACTCTGTCTGTCTCTCTCTTGCATTCTCTGTCTCTGTCTCGCACGTGTGCAATCCCTATGTGTATCTCTCTCACACTCTCGGTCTAGTGCGCACATGCTCTCTCTCTCTCTCTTTCTTGCAGATGTGTGCTCTCTGTCTCAGGCACGCACACTTGTTCTCCCACTCTCTCTGTCTCATGATTGCTCTCTCGTGCTCAGTCTCTTGTGCTCTCTGTCTCTCTCGTGCACTATCCGTCCCTGTCTCATGTGCCCGAGCTCTCTGTCTCTGTCTATCATGCACTCTTTGTCTCTCTCTCACGCTCTCAGTCTCTCTCTCATGCGTACTCTTTCTCTCTCTCTCTCACAAACACAGCGCTCTCAGTCTCTCTCTTTTCTGATCTCTGTCTTGTGTGTGTGCGCTCTCTGTCACTCTCTCTCACGCTCTCTCAGTCTCACGCTCACTCTCTCGCACTCTCTGTCTTGCATGCATGCACTTTCTGTCACTCTCTGTCTTTCTCACTTGTGCTCTCTCTCACACGCATGTTCAGGCTCTGATTCACGCATGCAGGCTCTCTGTCTCACGCTTGCATGCTTGCTCTCTCGTGCTTTCTGTCTCACACTTGCTTTCTTGCAGTTTTTGTATTACACTCTTTCTCACTCACTGTCTCTATCTCGTGTTCTGTGGCTCACACGCTCTATCACTGCCTGTCTCTCACATGCGCTCTCTGTTTGTTTCTCGCATGCTCTCTGTCTTTCATGCGCTCTCTCTCTTGCTAGCTCTCTCACTAGCTCAATTGTGCTCTCTTGCTCGCTCTCTCTTGCACTCTCTTGTGCTCTCTGTCTCGTTCTCTGACTCATTCTCTATCTCTCTCTCTCATACTCGGTGTCTCTCCCTCTTTCTCTCTTTAATGTCTGTCTTGTGCATGCGTCTTGCATTCGCTCTCTCGTGCTCTGTCTCCCACCCACTCTCTGTCACTCTCTCGCGCTCACGTGTGTGCACTCTGTCTCTCTCTCCCTCCCTCACCTGCTGTCTCTGTCTGTCAGTCTCGTGCATTGGTTGTCTCATTCTCTCACTCGCATGCACTTTCTGTTTCTCTCTTGCCCTCTCTGTCTCACACACGCGTGCTCACTTTCTGTCTCACACTTGAGCTCTCTGTTTTGTGCTCTCTCTGTTTTGTGCTCTCTCTCGAGTTCTCTGATTTGCGCTCGCTCTCTTATGTTCTCTGTCTCACACACTCTCTCACGCTCTCTGTCTGACATGGGCACTCTGTCTCTGTCTCACGCTTACACATTCTCTGTCTCTGTCTCGCAATGCACACTCTCTGTCTCTCTCTCATGTGTGCATGCTCTCTATCTCTTTCTCTTTCACATACACAGTTGCAAAGTTGTAGAGTACTTGTATATTGGAGGGCAGGAAGTTAGGCTTTGTTTGTAAAAATGATAGGGCGGAAGAGTGCATAGTCCCTTTAAGAGATGATGTGCTTTTCTAAGCTTGGAGATTTAAATGAAAATGTGTCTGCAAACAGTTGAAGAAGTACAGCCAGTTCTGAAACATTATGAATTGGCTGTGTGATTTGAAATCTTAGGCTTGTTTTGCTGTTTTGGCATTTAGAGATTGAAAACCAGTTAAGTTTAAATCTGATGGTTTTGACAACGTCGGACCAATCGTATTATAAGAAAATTCATCGGGGGTATATAAAAAGAGGGTTTTTGAAAATTGGGGTGAGAGCAAACCGCCATCTGAGGAATAAATGTTCAGTCTAAAAGGAATCTCAAAGCTCTCTGAGAAAGCACCATCTATTCCTAAAAGGTAGCATGGCACTTCTAGCTAAATGTCCTCACAGAAAAATTCACAGAGAAAACATCCCTGACAGAAGTATCAGTGGAAGAATGGCGTTTATGACTGGAGACACAGCTGAGAAGGTAGAATATTCTGAAAGACGCACTCTGTATGGACTTTGGGAGTCTAAGTTTTACATTTCTTATTACATGGGCTTATATAAGTGAAAATTGTGATTATTGGAACAGCACACCAGTAGAACTTTGTTCAGTTGGGGAATAGTTTGTAGTTAAGGGGGAAATGTTCAATTTGTTAGTAGTTCTGTTAATTTGTTCACTATTAGGTTTAAATAAATAAATTGTTACTTCAGAGATAGTAGGTACTGCCGATGCTGGAGAATCTGAGATAACAAGG